AATTTTAGAAAATTATGGGAGAAAATTTGAGAAAATCGAAAAAACGATCACAGCCTGCAAATCTACAGCTCAGGGGCTTTCATTTAAAAAAAACCCCATGCAAATCGGTCCGGTGGTTCTCTCAAAGTTAATGCCCCAAGATTCGGAACTTTGCATTTTAATATATAGGATATCTTAAAATTTCAAGGAAAAGTATGCATAACTTTCCTCAAAAACGAGAAAAAACACTAAGAAATAGCCCGAACGTTATGTACCAAGGTGGAGATATGATGCTGGGTCCACACCATTTTGCGGGAAAACAAAGCCAAAAAATTCAAAAAATTTCAATTAGGGTCAAACTATTCTCTCAAAAATACATATTCTATTCGAGGAAATTTGGCGAATGTTCATGCGGCGGTTTTTCTTAACACGGCAGTGCACAGCATTGATCAGCAAAATGGGTCCGTCGCACTAAAGAGATACAGCCGCAAGTGATAAGACTCTTCTGAGTAAAATCTCACGAAAATGGCAATGGAAACAATAGAAAAGTCTAAAAATAATACGCATAGACAGCGACTTGACAACACCCACTGAGGATTGCCTCCTTACTTCGAAATTCAATCCAGTTGATATTTTGGCGGTAAAAAACCGCAGATGGAAGTTCGGTCACACAGTTTCTAAAGTTTGCGTTGAGCGACGCTCCACTTGTAAATTTCACCCTTAAAAGCGTCGTTTTCTCGGAACATAAGTTGAAGCAAAGTGGCTCCTGCCTGTAAAACTCAATTTAATTAATGAACATGTTCTTTTGAATTACGTCCATCGGATTCTATAGAGTATGTATTTAGCGCTCCCTGCATGGATAAACGAAAGTTTGAACCCTTAAAAGGTTTCCTTCCCGGTCGTATCACCTGCTTCCTTCGGGCATAAATTTTCCCGTTCAACTCTGTGCGGTTGAAACAAGAATTTAAAATTAGGAGGTTTTACAGAGCAGTAATTCAATCCTCCATCATACCACAAACGGAAGGAGGGAAACTGAACACCGTATCTTGCCATGCATGAGAGGAGGAAACTGTGAACAAGAAGTTCTACACTATTCTGACCTATTCCTATTCATGCGCCAAGGTAGAATTGTCATTCTTTAAAACTTTTTTTTGAAAGGGAAACATGCTTGGGGGTTAGTATTGCGATCTAATTTAGCAACAATGCTTTGTAATACCTTCGACGTTAAGGAAAATTAAGATGCATCATAGTAGTATTGGTTGTTGGATTTGTGCTAAAAACATGTAGGCGGCTATAACCGTTAAAATGCCAAAATTTGGAATCACGTTTTATTCGTGTCAAATTGATTCGCGTAAATAATTACAAAGAAATTTAGCATCGTATTCAATTATAAAATTTATTCATATTGATACATACATAAAGTCGCTTTTATAGCGCCGCCTCGCGCTCTGCGACGCCCAATCGCCATTGCCCCCTATCCTCCCAGAGATCATCAGGCAATTGGCACCTTCTGATCTCCTCCTCCACCCCTTGTCGCCAACCTTTCACAGATATTGATATTCATATTGATGCATATTGTAAAGTAAAATGAAATACATCGAGAGCTCAAGTTGAAAAATGCGAGTCTCCGATTGCGACGTCACAGTCTCAGTTTTAATTTACGAGACAATTTACACAAAAAAGTTCAAGAGAATAATAAGATCGCTATTTTTGAAATGTATGGAACTTCATGGGAGATTTTTAAACTTTGAAATAATATATACAACGTGAAAATCTAAAAATGATCGAGCAATTTACCAATTTTTTTAGAATAAGTTGAAAAAATCCTCGCGAAAGCGTAGTTAAAATTATGCGTGAAAAAAAGGGCATCCTAATTTGCAAAATTACAGACAAAGGGATAAAATATCAAACTAGTAGTCATGAATTGAATAAGCTCGATATTTCATCTCTTCCTTTTTGATTGAATGATATTAGTGAGCCAACTGGCACTTTGAATCTAAGTCGAACAATTCAAGAGGTTCTTTATGGTGTTTTCTCTTGAAAGTTTACATATTTCCTTTTTTCCCCTTTTTTTCATTTTCAAGTGTTTGTGCCATCCTGGCAATTGATCTCGGCTATCTCGCGAAGGAATGAGAGGGGAAGGGCGACTTGGAATGGGGTGGGAAGGGGGCAGAGAGGAGATAGGGTGTTAATTAATCGTCCTGACCTTCCTCGATAGTTGTGATCTGTTTCCGGTGTTTCCGTTGTGGTGACACTCAATTAGTCTTCGTCTGCCAGCGTCCATTTTACGACTTTCGACTCATCAACCGCTCAGCCAGTGATTCCTTGAATAATTCAACCACCTCTCTGTTTTATTCAGTGTCTCGCAAAGTATCCATTACAAACCGCGAGCAAGAACATCAGAGGTGTAGGCGTGTCCGATTCAAGGGCACAAATCACTGGCGAAAGTTTGGTAGTGAGTTTCTTATATATGTTACGGCTTAGCAAAGATTCCAGCGTACACACTTCGTTGAGGTGGATCCTTAAAATTTTGGAGGAAGACTCGATAGCCAAAGATCAAAAAAAAAAAAAGGCTAGGTTGCATTCTTTCTGGTGTTATGAAAATGCAGATTTGCGTTTATTTATTTACTTTTTTATTTATTAATTTCTTTTCGCCTTGTTTCAAGGGTAAATTGATTGATTTTGTGTGATTTTCTCTGTTGGCAGCCCTCACGGACGCACATCACATGCCTGCAGTTTGAACAAGATGGTGACGTAGTAACTGCTGACAATGACGGGTTCATCACAATCTATTCAGTCGACAGCGAAGGCGCCTATTTTGTCCGCTTAGAATTTGAGGTAAATTCATCACCGTTTACACTACTCATCGAAAAATGTATGAAAAACCCACGGGTGGAATTAATGATTAAATATACTAAGAAAATATAGAAAATCCCCAATCTTTCTTAATGAGTAAGGCAAATGAACTGTCACGTATGACCGTACCGTGCTAGTTTAGAAACGTGCGATTTCTCACGGCGCTGATGAGCAACTATTCGACCTCGCCTGTCGTCTGGTGGTATCTTACTTTTTGAAGGCGCACCAGTGACGCGCCGGTGAAACAGGTCAAAAGCACCTCCACGACCAGAGCGCCTTCTGCTTTGTACAGCGTAACCTTATAGACAGCCGTTGAGAGATAATAAGACATAACGGAGCTACACTTACTTTACCCGATTGTTTTACCCAATACCTAGTTTGGCCATAAAAAATCCAGCTATTCTTTGGCCAAATTGTTTTTCCAAGAAGTTATATAATCCGTAATTTTTTTTATCCACGTGCTGTGTATTCGAAACAGTATTTCATGAATACAAGCTGGAAAGGTACATAGTGCCTAAGTTTTAATAACCTCGTTGGAAAGAAATACTACGAAGAACACTTAATCGGACACAGAATACACATCCTTTTTCTGTACCTGCAACTTCACAAGAAGTTCGTGTGCGGAAAACTCCTCAAATAACCTCAAATAAAAGACGGAGGAGGACACATACTTGGAGGGAGATGATAATTAGCGCAGAGGCTCATGGACAGCATGTGAAAGTAGTACTTTAATTGTTTCATTCAATTCCATAAGTTGACAAGATCTCGGCACCTACACAACATTACTTGTTAAAGGACTTAGTAGACTGTTGGATAATGAAATATTGAACAAGACAACTATTGGACAAACTTCATAAATAGACCAAGAGACTTAAGACCATTCAAAATTGGGTAAGTGTTAGGCCATCTTCTTAACTCTTTACCCCACTTTACATTTTTATAAGATAAAACTGACGTTTTCTAATCCGGATGAATAAATTGTGTGCAATAATAAACGACAGAAAAGGATTACGGTTTCCTCCTTTCAGGGTGAAAAAAATTAGGAATATCTTAATATCTTTCATCGGCTGCCTCAGTCTGCGCAATGTTAAGTAGATGGCGGTCTTAGAGGTACTTTTGTCCTGTTTTACCGACACGACGCTGATGCGCCTTCAAAATGTAAGATACCGCCAGACGACAGACAAGGTCGAATAGTTGCTCACCAGCGCCGTGAGCAATCGCACGTTCCTAACTACACGGTACAGTCATATACTTGAAACTTACACATTAAAAAAGAACAGAGATTTCATATGTTTCACTAACACATTTATTAACTAATTTTCATTGATTGTTTTTTTTTTACATTTTAATGATGTTAAAGGAACTTAAAGTAATTCGACACTTGCACTGTCCATTGATTACCGGATAGAAATCCGCGTCAAAATATTTGTCGTTTCCTAGAAGAAAGAACATAACTGCATTTCAACGATAATAAATTTCCATTTGCAAGTTGATTTTACTAAAAAACTGTCGGAGACTTCCGACTAAAATTTTTAATATGTTTTCTTCTGATTACACGCGAAAATCAGTAAAATTTTAACCATAAATGTCAAATTCATGATCCTGTACAAAAATGTATTGTCCGTGTGAATTTTACAACTTTGGAATGGAGAAGAACGAAGAACCCTTCGTCTGGGAAGCTACGAATATTTTAATACTTGAACCAGGGGAGACCTCGCCAGTTACTTCCTCTGCAGCAGTAGCGATTATTGAAAATTGGCGTAAATATTTTAACTCCACCTAAATCTATGCAAAACGATCGAACTGGGTAAGACACGCTGTCTCGCCCATGTAATCGATATTTATGATGAACTTAAAGGAGGGGAAGCCTTGTTGCCGATTTTGAAAAATCTCCACGACTCCTACTCCATTTTAATATCGGAGATCTATGTTCCTCATCGTTCATTTCATATTGCGCTGAAAATTTAAAAGCGCGGCAAGACACTTTTCATCAATTACGAGAACACGTAGCACTATTACTGCCGTGCTAAGGAAGAACACCGTATGAACATTCGAGAGTTGCCAAATTTCCTTCGGTAAAAAGTTTATTTTTAAGAAATGTTATGAATGCTTTTCCTTTAAATTGTCAAGAACTTTAGGTAAAATTGCGAACAAAATTATCTGAAAAATTGGAAGAAAAATATTCACAAATTTTCCCGAAAATTCATGATTTACCAACGGAAATTTGGCAACGCCTGGAGGTTCATACGGCGTTCTTCCTTAGCACGGCAGTATACGGGGACGCGGGATGTTTTCCATCGTGCCAAAATTGAAAGCGCCGCGCGCCGAACCAGGTCCCCGATGCAAAACGAGAATGAATATTTATGGGGGGCCATTCCACGCTATGCGCGGGAGCATAACAGAACGGGGAGGAGGAACCGCTTCATGATCCCTAACGCTGTCGTAAGCAAGCCGTTAAGGGCAGTCATTTCTTAAAACCGGAAAACACCGCGCTGCGCTTATGTGGATGAGAATGAGTGACAGCACGCCCCGAATCGTTGCCAAGTGTTCTGATTTTGTAAAAATGCAGAGCGGGTTTGTCAAAGAAATCTCCTCAGCTTTGGCACAATGGAGAATTTGCAGGTGTCGAAAATTTGATGGATTCCGTGTTTAAGTGGAAACTACTGAGTGAACTGAACACGAGGATACCCTTGGTTCATGAACCGATCAATTATTGGAGAAGATATGACAAAATGATCTAATCTTCTGAAATACATGTGTTTAAATGGGAGATGCCGCCAGATGTCGTCACCAGGCGGAGGATTTTCTCACTTTTGAATCTATTTTTATGCTATTTCCCAAATCAGAAAAAATTATAAAAAAAATACTGTGAAATCAGCTCTACACGTACTTTCAGATGAAGCAGTAAAAGAATTGTATGCAAATTCTTCATTTATTCCGGTTCCAATGATTGTATCAATTATAAAAGTAGCAGAATATGTATCTCGATTTGTGGCATCCCAGATTCCTTGGCACAATTTTTCTTTGAGAGGGAAATCGAAGACAGTTGGATCGTACTTAGGAGAAAGGAACCAACGCGATTACGGTGTTATAAAAATCATGCATAGCACAGCAAATAAATTTTATTTCATGATGGCAGAATATTATTAGTTTTGGAGGGACTCGATCATGTAAGCTTTGTTACTGTGTATATTAGAATTTTATAAAGCGAAGAGGAAGTTGAACGATTCTGCAAGCACTGTAATTGCGTTGGTTCCCTTTTGCAAAATAAGTTACAATTACTTCTCGGAATTTTAGTTTTTTATAGAGATAATTTTTCTCGTTTATTGATTACAGGCACATAATAAAGGGATCAGTTCAATTATCATGCTCTCAGAGGGTACACTACTATCTGGCGGAGAGAAGGACCGAAAAATAGTGGCGTGGGACTCATTGCAGAATTACAAGAAAATTACAGAGACCAAGGTAACATGTTTTGACCGATGAAGGCATGAAAGAATGGCAGAGGTGCACTTCTACCCTCTTCCCATTGTACCATATTACTTGCCTCCCTCTGGCGATGCGCCACCTTCCTACCCTTGTTTGGCCCGGTTCTTATGCATTGTATAGCTGCCTCACCCGAATTTCGCCCCTCCCTCCGTTCTCCAGAATCGTCTCCACGTCCAAGTGGCTCAACGTCATCGTAAATCTGCGGAAATGAAGTATATATTTATTATATTTATGAGGGTTAACTTCTCCCCGCCAAAATTATACCTTCACGTGACCGTGCGCGGGATTACGGACCATACTCCACGCGGAGACAAAAGTTCCAGTAGACCCACATTTGTCAAATTGGGTCGAAAATCAAGGGTGTGTTTTCGCCTAAAAAATCCTTATGTAATGCTGATTTAAGGGAGGAAGGGGGTCAAACTGAGCAACGCTTTTTTTTTTTTTTTTTTTTTTATTTTTTATTGTAGAAGAAGCGTACCTGTGCTACAGCTGTGTTCAGAGAGGTGGGGAATTTCCGTATATTTTAAGGGTACATATTTTGTGGGCGGTCTCTGACAATAATTAAGGGGCTTGGAGGACAAGGCACATGCAGTTTTCCCTATTTCGAGGAATACGTGTTTGAAGTTTTGAAATTACATGGATCCTTATGGCGGAAAGAAAGTTCAAAGTGACTTTTTTATGCTGAAAAATTGGAATTGGGGAGCGAATTTTTCACGAAATATGCATCAAGACTAGTTTTATTTGAAATCATTAATATCTCAATTTTTTCAAAAACTGCACTTATGCGCCTTGTCTCCCAAGTCCCTCAATTCTCTGAGCACGGCGCAAATCAGTGGAGCTTCAATTCCAGTTGTTAACGCTGGGTCTTTATGTATTCGCGTGGGAAGGGCGCTAAGGACTGTAGGTTCTCTGTGAACTCGCCGCGTCGGCGGTAGTAAATCAAATTGGTGGACGTTGAAAGTGAGCATTTTTCCATATTTTCTTTTCATTTTTAATGAGTTGTTGAATCTGAGGCGTTAATTACCCAGTTGAATTGGGACGGGGGCAAGTCAGCCACCCGCCGCCGTCTCATTCTGCTACAATTACGCTCGAAACCTGCAAAATGGGAAAAGTTGCCGGAATGAAAAATGAGGTTCGGCCCTCGCTGAGTAAGTCCCCGTGCCCGCAGCTTTCCTCCTTCTGCTTTATTATAAAAGTTGGAGGATTAAAAAGTGCTCGAGCGTTTTCACGACTCGGTTCTCCGAACTTATTTTTAAAATCTTGGTCCGCGATGAATCTTTAAACATTTTCGCAACTTCCTCCACGGATTTCAATTCGACACCGGATTTCTCATTTTGCGACGGGTATCAATTTTAATGTGGAGCGCTTAAGCCCTTTCCTCAGCCTCCTTTTTTAACCTGCTGTGTATCGTGCATATAATTAAGGCCAAATTTCCTCGTAGATCGTTTTTTTTTTCCTGCAGTAAAAGCGTATTTCCATTTCCGTACGAGCCCTGCCAAGGAAAGGGTTATGCGGAGAGCAGGGCTCACGTAAAAATTGAAAAACTCTCTCACGTTAAAGGAGCAGCGAGATAAAGGAGGCGTGAGATGAAGCTGCAGTGGACTCCAGTATTCTGGAGAAAAAAGTTTAAGTAATTACAGGCAGGAGCGAGGGCGTAGCAAAATCAAAAAGTGCGTGGGCTGAAGCCTGATTACTTTTATTTTTTTCTTTCTTTTACCTTCACAAATTTCTATCTTCCGAAAAGCTACTGCTTTTAAGCCGCCTAGAAATGCTTCCCTTTCATTGATTTAAAATCTGGAAGGAAAGAGCGGGGCTTTAGCCCTTTAGGACCTCTTATGACAAGGCGCCCTTAAGGACCAACAGTAGCGATTCTCAATTCATTTTCACTCAATATTAAAGTTCATATTTCATAAGGAAAACAAAGGAAACCAATAAACATTGAAACAATTTAACTTATAAAAAAGTCAACAAAAAAACCTTAACATGTATGCGAACAAATTACAGCGACAAATGTTGAGTGTTTTAGTGTTGAATTTTTTAGTATATATTGTGAATTCACCTATTATTGTTACCAGTACAAAGGTATGCTCATAACACAGGAATGTATATTTTTCAGTTACCGGAGACCGCTGGCGGTATCCGAACAATTTATCCTCAGCGCCCTGGTCGAAATGACGGCAATATTTACGTTGGAACAATCAAAAATCATATCTTCGAAGGATCGCTACAAAGGCGGTTCAATCAGGTTGGTTTAATTTTTTCACAATTTGCAAATATCACAATAAAAAGGAATTTTTCCCCTCGGGAATTTCCTTGAATCAAAAGCAGACTGTTATATTCTTCATTTTTAATTGTAAGTAAAATCCATGAATTTTACACTTGAATGAAATGAAAATAAAGCAAAACTGAATTTGCCATTTAAACCAAACCTACGCAGGAATAAAATACAATGCTCACTTTAACAAAGAGGGAGGAATCATGTTTGGAGCGAGTCGGTATCCCATTCGCGATAATTTTGCCTTCCACAAATTTTCAGTCAAAAAACGAAACTGTATTCAACTGGCTTTTAGACAGTTATTACACTTCGCTGTCTCGTTCATGAGAATTTGGAGCGTTTGAACTTTCTAAGTAAAAGAGAGACTTTTTAATTTCTTTCAGATCGTGTTTGGGCACAGTCGGCAGCTTCTGGGATTGGCAGTGCACCCTGATGACGAGCTTTTCGCCACGGCTGGAACCGACAAAGCCATCGCCCTCTGGAGGCGACACAAATTCCTCTGGACTACTCAGGTCAGATTCTGTAACGCCCTGATAGCACAAAGACGCTAAAATATCCTAAAACATCTCTGAAAACAATAGAATGTTCCGGAGAGTTTTTCTAAAAAATCGAAAAAATAAAACATTTCATGGAAGACTTTGGAACGTTTGAAAGGGAAATATGGATCGCATCTAGCAGAAAGGAACAAACGCGATTACAGCATTGTAAAAATTGTGCATCTTCATTTTAATCTAAAAAATACCTTGCGTAGAAATGAATTTTCGATTTTCTGTAAAAAAAATTATCAATTTTAAATAAAATGTAATAATACTTTTTCAGTACATTCCCAATTGAAATTCAGTACCTCCTCGACAGAAAATTTCAGTACTTTTTCAGTGCCTCCAATTTACAAAATTCGAAAAACTTCAAAAATTTGAATTTCTCGCTTAAATTGCGAAAAAAATGACAAAAAATTTCGGACCTTCTTGCAGAATTTCCGCATTTTTACAGTACTTCCGGACCGCCCTTAAAAAATCCGTGCTATTTCAAATTCCAGACTTGTAGACACTCTGATCATTTTAATGTTTAAAATGTAAAATACGAAAATTACTTCTTCATTTATGACTTAATTTTGGGATATTTCGATAAGTTTAGCGTGTAATGTGCTAAATTTTGAGCCTATGAGACGCCTCACCCTATCTTGTGTCACGTAACATTGAGAAGCTCAGAATACATATGATGTTGGTTTTTGGTTTAGGTTGCGTTTGAGTGCGTGTCACTCAGCTTCCATCCATTTGGGGTGGCGCTGGCTGTGGGTTCGACAGAGGGTCACCTCCTCATCATGTCTGCTGAGAATGGAGCCACCGTCTCCACTGTCAGGGTCTGCGGCTCGCCACTCAATTGCTTGGGATACAATCCTGGTAAGCATCGTGATTTTACGTGGTTGACTTCCGGCTATGATATCGCTCGTGCCATTTGAGTGTCAATCTCATAAGACTAATGTAAGATGAAAACAGTTAACCACGGCTGATATAAACAAAACAGAGAATTGAAATTTTTAATACATGATCAAAATCACTCAAATTTGAGGAAACGAATCAAGTCAAGTGTCTATTTTGATTCTGGTGACAACATGGTGCTTTTGATAACCGTATTTTTTTATGTTTTTTAAAACAAATATAAATTGAAGATTTTGCTGATAGAATGGCGTATTATAAAATTGTTCTTTGTTTTGAAAATCAATTATACAGCAACGGCGTACTTTTAGAAACACAGTCATGTTTGTATGTTCATCCGATGCTCCCATGCGGAATTGAAGGGCGACAAATGCAAAGCCACTATCTCAAAGCTTTAAGTGAGTTCTCCTCAGAGCAAATATTTTTCGAAGACACCCTTCTGCGAACGGGCAAACTATTCAGTTAGATGTTTTCAGCGATGCGAGTCGATGCCACCACTCATCGGCATGAGAATTTTTCAAAGTTGTCTCGCCTTCCGTATCACAGGATGCACGGTCTGTGTGATTGAATGTTTTTGCTAGTGGTTCATGGAATAGACTTGTAAAATCAAACGAAGACTCATGATGGGCACCTGGCGACAGATTCATCGTTTTAAATCTTATACTTGTAGATCACTCTCTTGGATTCAGCTGTTCTGTGATATTGCACATGGTTTTTGTTTCAGCCGGCGACATGATAGCGATCGGTTCCCAAAATGGAAGCGTCTACTTGTTCCGAGTGAGCCGGGATGGGTACACATACAAGAAGTCCAATAAAATTCGGGGCGGGCACCCGTTGATTCATTTGGACTGGAGCTCGGACGGAAATCACCTTCAAACCGTGACCGCCGATTACGATCTAGTCTTTTGTAAGTATGGCATTTCTTACCAACTAATAGAGTAAGGTTATTTCAACCAAGCGCCAAACGGGCGGATTTAATCAAAATCAATCCGAGTGAATTTTACGTTGCCTATTTCTGAACTTCAATATGCGCCATGCATTAGAGTTATAGAGTACATATCGACGGTGAAACTACCAAACCACGTATCTCGGTTTGCGACGTCGCAGACTTCCTGTCATACTTTATTTTTTAAATGAAAAACTACTTAACGTCCAGTCTTGAAAATTTCTGTGATTTTTCCTCTTCCTGCGGAGAAAATTCTGTGAAAATTTGAACGAATGATATTGATTTGGTCTATTTCAAAAAAATAAAATGCGACCGTAAATTTTTGAACACCGCAAACGAGATACGTGGTTTGGTAGTTTCACCGTCGATATAGAGTCGTAATGTAAGTGGGAGAGCTGGCGCCATGTTCTGCTCGACGAGTTCCGAGAGCCCGGTGTGCGGGATCACTTTTGCAATACATATTCGATCCAAAATGGCGGTGTGGAATATGGCTGGGTCCTCGTGTAATGCAAACAAATTGTTTGCAATACACGGCAGGGCCGGATAGAAGCTAAAAGGCCCGGGCGACTGGAAGTCGGAAGGGCCCGTAGGGTCGAAAGGTGACGGCCCCCACCGGGGGGGGGTGGGGGGGACTCCCCCTGGAAAATCTTGAAAAGTTGACCTGTAAATGCTTCATCTTACACCACTTTTTTGATATTGTACGCTTCAGGGAGCGCTAATTTTCAAGTCCTAAAATGTGCAGGATACGACCCTTTTTTACATTTTATGTTATTTTTTAAGCAAGACAATTAAGTTGAGGCCGTGAAATATCTCAAATTTTTAAAAATTTCTTGAAATATTTCATGAAATTTTCTGATTTTATCATCATTTAAATTTTGCAACCGTAGATGCGGACGGGGGTGTTGCCCCCTCCCCTGAAAGAAGGAGACCCGAGACACTCTGAAAACTGTTAAATATTGAATTCCAAAAAAATAGAACTTTAGAGCCATTTAGACCAACACGTATTTTTAAGAGAATTTCCTACACACTAACTAATTTAGTCTAAAACTATTTTCGCCAACGAATAAACCCGGAAATATCTCCGGCCGTCGCCATTGTGTCGACCGTTGGAATTTCGGAATTTGCGATCCGCTCAGGGCCGGATTTACCTTTTTGTCGCCCATGCCCATGGGCCGTCTGTATTTTGCCACCCCCTTCTCATTCGTTCTGAAACATCAATAAAAACTATCAAGTGAACATGCCGGAGGAGGAGGGGTGCATAAAGACGGCGTCTCATGCATTAGGACTCGTTTACTAGTGTCGAAAACATTTTTTGCGGAAGCCCTGTCAACACTACTAGCAAAAGTTCAAGGAACTTTGCGCGAAAGTTAAGTTCCGTAAACCTATCTCTGTGTGGTCAAGGCCTTCCATTCATGAAAACTGAACAAGAAAATTATGAAAGAACAAACATAAATGTGGTTTAATAATTTTAACTTCCGCCACCGCGCCGCGCCGCGCCGACCGCTCTGTGTTTGACGCAATGCGCGAAATATTCATGCAGCCTTGTAGGCGCTATGCGTTTCACGCTGACCGCACTGTATTTGACGCAATGCGTGAAGTATTCATGCAGTCTTGTAAGCGCTGATCAAGAGTGGCGGTAGCCACCCCCGGTCGAGGAAAATGACGTCCTACTAAAGTCCCGATAACAAACGGGTGGCCGACACTCTTAGTCACAGGCAACTCCCTTAACTTGAAAATTGATTCGATTGCCATTCGACTGCAGCCCAAACGACGGCACGGATTCCTACGATCTTGGTGTCTACGGACGCATCTCAATTAGGACTACAAAGTGGAAGAGTTTCAATAAGATCCATTGAGTTTTCAAAAAGTTATAAGCACTTAATGACCCAAAACAAGGAAAATTTTACTTTTTACTTTGCCGGGAAATTTGAATTTCAAGAATCCAGGGTACTGAGAAAGTCACTCAAACTCCGCGATAACGGTAAACCTTAGACCCATAAAAGTGGGTACCTAAAGAATCGTCATGTTACCGTGTCCACGGGTTTTTACAGTTTTGTAACATTCCTAGTGATCTTAAAGAGAAATTACGGAAAATACGACTAAACTGCCCGTCATGACCATCTTTAACAACAGATTTCTCGCTTACCCGGCCGCAGATTGTAATGGAGCCTATATAAAGGGCACTCCGTGAAGATGTGAGGATTTCATTTTGCCACATAAAAAAGCGCTTTATCTCACGGATAATCCAGCATCCGCTTACATCCTTCAAAATTTTAGCTATAATTTTTGAATTTAGAAAAAAACCAGTAATATAATGGTTCAACGCCATTGGTTCATTCTGTTCAGGTTCGTCCGAGTTTCGGGAACGAAATTCCTGTCGTCGTTATCAACCTCCATCTACTGTATTTATTTGTGAATAATGAACAGATGTAATTTAAAAGTTCAATTCATTTTAGATCCTAACTAATATTACACACTTATATTATTACGCCAACTTTTATCCCGATACGCTACTTCATTGGTTTCTTAAAAATCTCAAGTGATTTCTGGTCGGTCGTTGCCAACCTCTTTAACTAGTTGTGAATAGATTTACCTAATTTGGATAAGAGTTTAATTCTTTGTAGATGCTAACTACTATATTTACATACTCATATTATTACGTCTCACGTGTTCTACTGGAGCCCGATATACTATTACCTTAGTTTCTCTTAAAATTTTCAAGTGGTATCTTTATTTTATTGAACGAAAATGTGACAAATTTTTAAGTGAGGTTATGTCGTCATGTTTATGTCAGTACCTGACCTAAGCGATAGATGTAATTCAGGTAAATTACGTTAACGAAATTACACCGAAATTGTGCCAAACTCTCCAAAGGAAGCAGCATTTACATCACAGAATGTATTCTCACGACTAAAGTCTAAAAATTACTGGAATATGAGCCTCGGCCTTCACATGCGACTGTCACTGAACTTCGACCAAAATTTATTCGCTCTATATCTTGCCATCAACCTATGTGCTCTGGAGTGATTATGCTTCTCTGAAGTGTATGTTATTTACATTAAGAACATGTTTCCTTCATGATTTATCTTGGAATCCTCCTATCTCTTCTACCGTTCTTGTTACGCGTGGCTTGCGAACCTGAGTATGTGAGGCACAATTCCATCCCTTTTCGGAACAGTTCAATCATAGGTCAACTTAATGTCACATAATCAAAGGTCTTTGACTGTGAGCATTTGCTCAAATTGGTTTCTTCTGAGTCTCTTTGATTTTGCGTCAGGAGTTGTTAGAAACTTCATTTTGCCCAACAATGTATAACAAGGTCTTTAATGAAAGGTATGTACCCGTTTTATTCTCATAATTTCATAAGTTGATGATAAAAATACAATGAAGGCTTCATTTTCTTGCATCGATTACTGTGTGAAATGGGTGCGTCCATTCTTCCTCTGTTCAAAAGCGTAACAGAATAAATTGCTTATCTGTTACGAGGACTACAGTAGTAAGATTCGTAGGTACGTGTTCCTGCCTAGTTCCATTGGAATAAGTGTGATCGTGTTAATCAAGGCTAAATACAATTAGACCCCATGGTATCAATGTAATCATAAATGCCTCTCCACTCTTACCAACTAGGTGCGGCATATCCTCCGATCAAGAGATGGAGATTGCCGTCTCAGTAGGTACGAGGGTGAGCCTACGAACCCAGGTATGGTGACCGTAAGTACCGCTTTGGCCTCTCACATTCAGATGAGCCTTTTTTTCTAATGAACTCATGCCAATACTTAGATCTCCAGACTTATTTACTACATTAAGAACACATAAGATAATAAATTAAATAGGTCAAGTCAGTTGTCAATCTTTATACCAAGTGCAGGTACCAACATAATTTTTTGTTATTGGTGGGACAAAAGACACTAGCTGCAACGCAGCGATTCATAGATTTAATTGTTCCCAACCGATCCGTGATTTGGCGTCAATCCTTTGGATAAAAAGATCACGATAGTTCCATTATTAATAATTAAAAACATCATTTAATTTGACAACAGTTCTGTGTGCGTTTCCCACTGTCTGAAGTTCAGTAAAAATAAGGACTCAATTGTGGTGGCCACATTCTCATGATGCAGTTACATCTCAACCAATGAACACCTGCAGATTCGTTTCAGAATCAGCATTGGTGCGCTCTCTCGCGGCTAACGCCGGAACCCTAGTTTTCACTTTCACTTTTCTCCACCAGGAGCGCTGAGTAGCACTCTGCTTTCGTTCCGGTTCTCCGATTCGCTCTGAACCATAGAGTACAATAGAGTCGCAATGTACTGGAGCGCCGATGAAGTCAATCCATTAACGGGCCTTTCCGAGCCGCTTGTGCTCCGAAAAGTGTGAACCCGACGGCACTTATCATCATTGTGGCTTATAGAGAAATCAAGAACTACTTGTGTTTTTTCGACATTTTTAATTCAATCATCATTAATTTTTGCAAATTTTGCTGCAAACGGGTAGTTAAAGTCATAGTGAATCCATTAATGTATCATACTCTTGAATAATATTCCAAAAAGGAAGTAAATTGAGACTTAAACCAAGTGTGAACCGACAAGCATTTCTTATCACGGCGGCTTACGGGAAAAGCAACGACTGCTTGTGTTTTTTCGACATTTTTTAAGTCAATCGATGTTAATTTGTGTAAATTTTGCTATAAATAGATGGTCAAAGCCATAATAAATCCATTCATGTATGTTACTCCTGGATTTTATTCACATAGGGATTTAATTTCTGACTTATACAAAGTGTGAACCAAACCGGCATTTCTAACATGGTGGCTTATGGAGAAATCAACAACACTGCTTGTGTTTTTTCGACGCTTCGGTTTTGCTAGCTCTTCGTACAGCCAGACCTTTAGGTACTTATTCACCCAAAAACGACCTGATATAAACTACAAAAACCCTCAAAAACATTTTTCGGGCAAAAAATCC